GGCATATATGGACCAACTATGTGACGGTAAGGGCATATTTGAGCTAAAGTATTAACGAAGATCAAATGTGCTCAATTTCGTATAATACAAGGGCATATTTGGACCTTTGCCCAAAAAGAAATAGAGTTAATTTCATTCATACTCACCATACGGATCGGCGGTACAATTCAGCCAAAATTTTCAACTCAAATTTATTCGAAAAGAACCTGTGAATGAAAACTCATAACATAGAGAATTTAGAGGAAGAGAAATAATAAAAGAATGGATATATAAAAGAAAAAGGCCATGGCCGAAAATACAAAGATACCCATATCACTCAAAATTAATATACTTAAATACAACCGCATACAATGGTAGTGGTAATAGAGATTTATTATTTTATAATTTTTTGACACATCAGGAAAAGTGTTAAAACCATAGGCCTCTTGAAATACTAATAATTCATGCTTGAGGCAACATTGATAAAGCGGCTAACTCATACAATTAAAGCAAGAAAGAATGCTGGCATAATTCATCCTCCGTTGAGATAGATACATAAAAATTAATCTTTGAAAGATAATTCATGTGATGGAGAAAATTAACTTATAAAAAAAAATATTCATGTGTTATGTGAAGTAGTTCATCTTGGTTATTGTCAATGGAGAACTTGTTCCGTAAAACTTCTTATTGGCCATTCATATAGCTTCATATGAATATGAATCTTTTCTCGAATTAGTACTCGATTAAGAGTTTGTTTTAATGCCTTCCTTACCGCGGGGGGATGGTGTCAAAATGAAAAATTTATAATAGATCTCAAATACCTAAATATTAGTTACACAAAAACTAAAAGTACTACTGTGATTAAACATATACATTCTTGTTTCCTTTTTAATAAGGGGGAAAAAACTCCTAAAATGACATTATGGTATATGGACAGACCTTAATTAATTTAAAACCTAATTATTCTCTTCTTCTATTTCCTTTTAAATCTTAAGGAAATTTTAGTCTTTGTCTATAAGAAAACAAACATTTAATATCTATTTATAATTTTATCCAACGTAAAATGTATTTACGAATGGCAAAAAAGACGAACAACATTTCGATAAAAGCTTCATGTTTTTAATATAGTACTAGTCTCTATGAACGTACGTTGCACGTTAATAATTGCACGTAGATATTTAGTCTGTTTAATAATTGCATGTGGATATTCAGTCAATAATCAACATTTTGCCTTGAAAATTTGTATTTTTATAATAATAATAATAAATTAAACCTAAATTTTATAATAACTCTAAAAGTGTATTTTAATTATTTGAAATAAAGTGTCTCGTCATATAGTTTTTAGAATAAAATGGTTCACACGTAAAAGTTTTGAGCACATGTATTTTATATTAATTTGAAGGGTATATCCTTTGGGGTAAGCTTACAAAAATTGTAGTCATTTTTGTGACATAATATTAAACCTAAAATGATCGAAATCGTTATATATTTTTTATTATAATTATTCAAACAGTCATCAAATTAACACTAATTAAAAAAATTATATCTTTCTTTTAGAACTATTGGAATGAGCGGCTAGGTCATATAGTTTCTAGGGAAAAAAAATGGATAATTAAGTAATGTAAAGTCTAAAAATGACTAATACTGAATGTGTATTTTACAATCAAAAATTTATTACGTATAAAAAAACCACAGAGAGCCAATAGTTGGAATAGATGAAAAATGAAAATAATAATAAATGTCAACTCATTTTGAATACTTATTGTTTCATTCTTATTTCTTCTAGTATGAATTTTAACCAAGTTAATTTTTAATACTATATTATAATTGATTCGACTTTATTTTCTAATTTCTTTCATCATCGCTAGTCTTTTTTATTGAAATATATCTATTTAAGCCAAGATTATTGTCAACCTGAAGATAGTTTTACTTGTATGATAATTTTCAAAAAGAATAAAATTAATTTTTACTTATCCATGTGTAATTAGTATACGCTTGAAGCTTCAAAACTAAATTGAAATCAGACTCTAGTTCTTGTTCAAATAAGAGAAGGATTCATTCATTAAAAATTCTAAACATATATTATTAATTGACTTCGGTATCCAATATATTAGATAGTCCCAAATACGACAATTTTATCAACCAACATGGATTTATTCTTTTGTACAAATATATGTTTTGAAGGGTAAAAATGTGATCAATTTTCTAACAATATTTTAGTCCATCAACATATAGCTTTCTAACAATACTTTTATAATAATATAGATAGTTGTAGATATAAATATATACGTTTTCAATTGGGGAAGATATAGAAAAAAATAAGTACCATTAATAAGTGTTATAGTTTTTCTTTTAAGCTTTATAAATCGGTAAATCATTTTACTCATAAGTTAAAATTCAATCTACAACATATGTTGTAGTAAATTACGTAAGACACTTTAATTTTTAAAAGAAAATTATTAATGTGCTTTTCTAATTCAAGTAGGATCAACTTTATAGGTCGATGTATGTGTAGTTTAAATCGAAAAAAAAATTCATCATTGAGTAAATTAATTACAATTAGATCCTTAAACTATATAAATATTTAAGAGCATAAAAGTCGATTAATATTTTAGGGATATTTTAGTCGTTCAACATTTAACATAAATTATTCGTGCTTTTATAATAATAATATAATATAAATAGATAGATAGAGATAGATATTGCAGTTATATGCTTTTAGCTAGTCAGTTGTGGAACATTAATTAATTGTATGATATTTTACGAGACATTAAAAGACCAGATCAAATTGTTGTATCTGATTCACTATCTTCGGAGTCCAACTCGCGGTTGTGTTGATTGATATTGTTATGTTTTATCTCCAAAGATATAGCAAGACACTCGTAATTTATGAACTGCAGTTCGATAGTCTTTATTGATTTGTATGGTGTTATTCTGTAATGTAAACCTTCTACATATTGCATGGGAATATAAAACTTTGTGTTAAGAGTTTGACACCAAGTCGTTGTAGTATAGTGGTGAGTATTCCCGCCTGTCACGCGGGTGACCCGGGTTCGATCCCCGGCAACGGCGTTTTTTTTGTTTTTAATTTAATCCGAATAGCTTTGACACTCTTTTCCGTTTGAAAACTTTTTATTTCCAGAGATCTATGCGAACTATATTTTCTTCAAAATCTCAATATTTTGATCAGCTTAAACTTTCCTATTTTCCCACCCGTTTTGCCTATCTATTTACCTGTAACAATAGAGAAAGAAATGCCAATTTTTTTGCTGCTGTATATCTTCCAAGACCAACTGTTACATTCTATTTCTTAAAACATCTTAGTTTTAACAATGTTGCTATTATTCCTAATTGATTGCCTAGTCAATCGTATATGTCTAGGTGTTCCATATTCAGAAAGGTTTATTAATATTATGGCGTTCCAATGTGATGATTTTTCTTAGGCCAATCTGTCGTTTCTCTTTTGATTTTTCTACTCAGAAAGTTTGCTTTTGGCTTTGCATTACGGAAATTTTGAGAACACAACAAAAGCCAACTTGTTGAAGAATATGCTTCTGAAATCCAAAACAGCCGGCAGGTAAGAAAAAAAAATAGTTTTGATTAAATTAATGGCATAGTCGCATAGATATTGTCCTCAACTCTCCGGACATAACAAGATTAACAACCTCCGTACTACAAAACATAATTAAAAGGACAAAACGCTTGAACTGAGAAGACGATGATAGTAATACAACTACAAGCACCTATAACCAAGGTGAACTATGAGTTAAAGTACTCTATTGATTTTATCTATTTTGAGCTGCCATTGGGTAATTTCACAGCAGCAGCCGCCGCAGATGGGTTGAGCTCGTTCCATGCTTCAATCCATGTGATCATAGCATCTGCCAGCTTGTTAAAGTAATCATCCACTTTGCCAAGTTTTGCCTTCACTTGTTTGGAGAGTTCAAGGTAGCATTTTTGGACAGAGGTGCAGTCCTTTGGAAGGGCAACAGATTGGAAGAATGGGATCAACTCCTCTTGCCAGTAAATACCCTTGTATTCCTTCTTGAGGTTCACAAATGGATTGCTGGCCTTGCTGTGCCAGATGTATGGCAGACCTGTCTTGACTCCCAATCCTAAATGATCACAGATCACCTGCACAAACAAGAAATTCCACTTCATCTTTGGCGTAAAATACTAAACGATAGAAGACGTAATCACAGCTGGATGCAGCCTTTGTACAATGTGCGAGTGCGTGTGTGGAAAACCACTGAATATTCAACAATTATTTATTCCTAAACTGATATACACAATTAGTTCAGTCTAAAAACTCTAAAGATTAAACACAAAGTTTAAATGCTGGATCTGCTTCTCGACAGTATAATACCAAAGCAAAAAATGCTGGTAATGGAACAATTAGCAGTACCTTGGTGCACCAACCAGCCCACATATCGTCGTAGCGTCCAATAGGCTGTCCATCGCCCATGAGTCCAAAGTACATAGCAGGGCCAATCAACTCACGGTCGAATGCCAAATTCATGCCACACATAGGGAAGAGGGTTCCTTTTGGGATAGTCATAACAGCATCAACATACCTGAAAAAGACAACACACGAGTTAGAGACCTTCGCATTAAGGAATTAAGACCAAGAAAATCTAAAAGTGAGATGGCATTGATACCTAGTGTTCCTTTCAAGAGGCTTGACAAGCTGGGTAGGTGCATCATAATCAGGGATGTTGAGCCAGAGACCATGTGATACTGCAGTAGGTACACCTTCACGGAGACTGAATGGGTACCCACGCACAAAATCTGCACCCTCTCTGTACGGATCATACAATGTGTTGAAGAAAAATGGACTTGATGGGGACAACAGATTTTTAATGTGTTGCTCAAGTGCATTAATTTCCTTGCCAGTTGGGTCCTTGGCTACCTGTAAATTAATACAAAATACCAATCCATTAATACCACTTACACCACTTCTTTCCTCACTTTAAAGCACTAAAATTGAGCAAGAGACCTGTTACCAAAATGTTGATAACCACAATCAAAGTTACACTATACTATAGGTATATTTGGTACATCCCCATCTACTGGAAAAATGTTCCCTTTTCAAATATATATAATCAATAAGATACAGACTCGGAGCAATTAGAGACCCAGCATTTGACACAGTGCAGCAAAATTTACTGTTACACATTCAAAACAAGTCACAATTAAGAATTTACATCAGATCCAGTCTTATCTATCGAAAACAGCCTCTCCACCCTCATATGTAAGGTCTGCCTCCGCATACCCCAGGATTTCACTGGGGTTTGTTGTTGTTATCATATCCAGTCTTATATGAAACAACTAACAAAGATAATTGCATCATTCCATATCTCTTAAATAGTTTAGCAGATCGAGTGTCTCATTCCCAAAACAGGAGTAAGAAATCAAAATCTAATTTTTATAACGCTTATCAACATAAAGTGAGAAGTAAAAATCCAATCATTGACACACAAAATTCAGCAAATAAAGAACAAATTAGAGCAGTAAGAACAATTTTTAGAAAAGGGGTTGCAAAATCCAACAGAAAAAAGAGAAAAAAAATCTTACAAAGCAATCGTCGTCAATGGTGTAGATGTACTTCTTCTTGGAAACCATATAACCAAAGCAACGGCAAGCGGAATCCTTGAAAGAGATACAAGAAGCCTTAGGACCCAGAATTTTGTTAATGTCATTACGATTATAAAGCTCGTAATCGAAACCTTCAGGGACCTTAATGACCTTAGAAGGGTCACCATCTTGAACAATGATAAGATGGTAAGCCTGGAAAAAAGGCCTCCACTGCTCCAAGAAATCAAGGTTTCTGATTGTGGGAATAACTATGTCAAGTTCATCTTTCAGAAGAGGGGTTGGAGCAACAGAAGCAGAAGCCTTTGCCATTTGTGTTAATTAATGTAAATAAATAAATTGGAGCGTTTCACTTTCTGAAGAGGTGTAAATAAGAGGGAGTTTATATAGATAGAGAAAAATAAAGAGAAGTGAAAAATGGAATTCAAAGGGAAGGGGTGGTGCCCATGTTTGTGTCCGCGTACAAGTGAAACTCCTGAATAAAGAGAGCGGTGGCACGTGATACAACCATGTCATCAAAGCGTTACTTGTCAATTAGAAAAAGGGCCAATCCAACCCGATTAATACGCAACAAATTTTATTGTGTTTGAAGTTAATGTTACTTATAAATAAAATAACCAGTTTTTATTGTGTTTGAAATAAATGTTACTTATAAATTACCTCCTACTATATTAAAAGAATAACCAGATTCAATGTAAGAGTGTCCAAATATTGAATTTTACATACATTGCTACTTGAATCGTTTTGAAATAATATTTGCATTTTATGCTCAACTTAAAAGAAATTTAATCATGCTATTTTCTATAGTTAAGAGATTAGTAAATATTCGAAAAGATAATAATGAGAGTAAAAATTTATTTGACTTCCGTAAAAGGTAATAGTGTCATCAAATAGACAGAAAAATTATTTTGGACTTTCTCATTGCGGCAAAAATTAAATTTACATGGGTTAATCTGCCAAAAATTCATCCCAAATATTGAAAACATACCATACTTGATGTTTGATACTAGTGCATTTCTCATTTGGATCGCATTTTTTCGGTGATTTTATTTTTATGACAAAGAAAACACAAGAACCATGACTATTTGAACCATTTTATTCAATTGGTTTTGAATAATTTGATTAGTACAAACCCTAAAGTATGAACTTAAGATATTTAGTTGTTTGCTTTTTACAAAATAAAATAAAAATATTTAACCTTGAAGGGCAGATAATACAAATCTGACAGAAGTTATTCTTAATCCGGTTGAAATTGACGGTAACAAATTTCAACTTTAATTGACTAATAAGCAAAAGGAAACGGAGACTTCTAATGACTTCGAGTATGAGAAAAGGGCCATCTTCTAATGAGTTCTCGTGTTTTTTTTCCGCATAAATGATAGTAAGTGATTCAGATCATTTATAATTTGAATAGAAGAAATTAACTTTAGAATATTTTTATATTTTATTTACCAATTTTTTGCATTATTTTAAAAAAAAGAAGTTATATAATAAAAAAACATTAATAATAAGTCATAGGTTCGATTTCCCTTTTTTTTTTTGTTTATCTTGAGCTAGTGATCTTCCTTAGTAGGTAATTTGCTCAAATTGGACACTTTGATACCATTCTTGATTTTTTAACTCTTTAAATTTAAGAAGTGTTGTCTCTCACATGTTCTATTGACACTATTTTTGACTTTTAATCTTAAAGATTTGTCCATAAAGTAAGCAAAGATAAAAAAATCTCTACAGGTCATTGAATATAATTTCTTGCGTAATTGAAGCCTCACAGATGCCAAATGGAAAAAGAGAGAAAAATTGAAAATTTGAAGGACGGTAAAGGCGCAATTACTAGTATAATAGAAAACATAAAACGTAAGGGAGCGGGGAAAGTGGAAACGTGCAAAACCGGCGTTAGAAGGGGACGTTAAGGGGGCTGGGTGCTTCGAGGTGGGCCGGCCAATGAGTCTTGGGACAAAAAAAAAGATGATATAGGATGAACAATGCAGTCATTCTGGTCCATAGAAAATGAATTTGTACAAATGTACAATTGAGCAATAAAGGGAAACTGCCGGTTGGTCTGGTAGTTTACCTAAATCTATATAGCCACCGACAGCGGGGTAAAACAAATATAGCCACCGCCCACCGACATAGCAGCGGCATAGCTAGAACTTCTTTTGGGATCTTACCAACAAACATTGTAAGACCCTCTTTGGATTAGCTGAATTTAAGTAGTTTTTAAGCCCCAAATGAAGCTTAATTTATAGATAAGTAGTTACGTGTTTGGATAGAAGTGTTGAAACTTAAAATAAACAGTTGTTGTGTTTGGTAAAACATGTTGATAAGTACTTTTTTTTATTAAAATGCCTTAAACCTGTTAACACTAAAAAGAGTAGATTATTGCAATATTTTATTTTTAAATTGATGCAAATACAAATTAATTAATGTCTCAATTCACTTTAAGCTAAAATCGGTTAGTTAAGATTATTTTAAACTATAAACATAAGAAATAACATAAAATACGTAATAATTTTACTAAAGTTTGTAAGTAAATGTTCATAATGATAGCTATATGACATACTAAAAAAGTTAATTAGGCGTATAACCACAACGATAGCACTTTATGCAATCTGTAAGCAAGAATTTAGAAGAGGAGACTGGTTTATTATTTATATACCTGCTCACACTCAAATGTGAAATGTTTGATTATTAGCAATTAAATATTTAAATAATAATATCAATTGAAAGAGAAAAGAGAAACAGTCGGGTAGTATTTCAAGTAACCCATTGTGGACAACAGAAGAATGGAATCGCATAATCGACAGGAGGAGGAAGAAAGAAAGTCGGGAGGGAATAACGGTTTTAGAGATAATAATAAAATTATAAGGGTAATAAGGTATTACTTTTGACTTGTTTTAAGTTGTTTTGGCTTAATTAAGCTAAGAACCTTAACTAGTGGCAATTAACTCTGACAAAATAACTGCTCTCGGCGCACGATTAGGGTGGCTTGTCTAACGTGCGCTTCTGGCCAAAATGGGGAGAGGAAGACCCCGGAAAACGGATACACAGACTCCGATCATGGATTAACAAAGTGCTGATGGGAAAAGCTTAGGGAAAGGTCAAATTAACTATCCGAAATGAGTGAGAATTGATGGTGACGGAGGCTCAATTTCGCCAGTAAACTCAGCAAAGGAACAGGAAAATCAAGGCAAAATTATGGAAATTGAGGCAGATAAGCTAAGTTCAGTTGGGATTGCTAGCTCTTCAAACTCGAAACCGATGGAGAGACTGGCAATTGCAGTTACGAAAACACCAAAGACTAATGGCATAATAATGAAAGTACCAGTGGCTGAAGATATAGCACAGACGACTGAGATCCCAAAGAGAACAGAAATGGAATCTAAAGCTGTTGGCACACAGTCATGGGCAAGCGTGGTTACGGGTAACAAAATGGCGTCGAGGGGGATGGATTTAAAGTTTATTGCTCCTTCGATTAAGGAAGGAGAGAAATTTGTGCAGTTGGAAGCAGAGGATATTGAGAAGGAAACTGAGAAGTGGAGCTCTGCTATAATCCTGTATGTCATTGGAATATCCCCGACAATAGGAGCTATAGAAAGGTTCATGTGTATATGTCGATCACATTAAGTTCCAAAGGTGCTTGCAAATGGCTGCCTTATTCCATGTGTATATGTCGATCACATTAAATCCCCTAGCTGATTTTGGAAAACATACTTTCTCCCACGATACTAGAGCTTTCTTATTCAACTCAATACCTTCGGTCCATAAAAACTTCCTGCATACAGCTTCAATTAAGTGTAAGATATTTTTAGGCAGGACAAAGACCTGGCACCAAAATGTTTGCATAAAAAAGAGGTTGCTTTTAATTAACTGTCGTCGTCCTGCATAAGAGAGAAGTTTTGAAGTCCATGATGTTATTTTCCCCACCATCTTTTCCCATAGTGGCTGGCACTGTGAAATTGATAGCCTCTTAGTACTAAGGAGAACACCTAAGTACTTGACTGGTAGTTCCCCTTTAAGGAATTCCAGAACCCTCAGGATTTCTTGTTGAACCTCGTCAGTAACACCACCAAAGAAGACAGAGCTTTTTTTCTTATTGATAGTGAGGCCTGATGCTTGGGAGAATTTCCTGAAATAATCATACATCAGTTTAACTGATCCTACATCCCCCTACAGAAGAGTAAGAGATCGTCTGCAAACCCAATCTGAACTATCTGCAATTTTTCACATCTCGGATGAAAGTTGAAATCTGGTATCCGCCCCAATGTATTCAAATTCCTAGTCAAGTACTCCATAGCTAGTAGCTAGTACAAACAGGAATGGAGACAAGGGGTCTCCTTTCCTGAGACCTCTCTTGGCATCAAAAGGCATAGGTGGTATACCATTCAATAAGATAGAGTATGAAACCGTTGTTATACAACTCATGATCCATCTAACAAAAACATCAGGGAAAGCCATCCCAATTAGAATCTGCTCCAAAAAAACCCACTATAGTGAGTCATATGCCTTCTGCATATCCATCTTCATCATACACATAGGGGATATTCCTTTTCTTCCATAACCCTTCACCAATTCGTGGCTAAGTATTATGTTATTGGTGATGACCCTGCCTGGTACAAAAGCAAACTGACAGTTATCCACTAAGTCCTCCATAACAACCTGTATTCTCTTTGTTAAGATTTTAGAGATGATCTTATACAAAGTCGTACAACAAGATATGGGCCTGTAATACTTTATGTTTGTAGGGTTCTTGACCTTGGGGATGAGCGTAACTGAGGTGCAGTTAATAACTTTAAATATACTCCCGGTGCTAAAAAAGTTAAGGATGGCTTCTGCAACTTCATCTCCTATAGTAGGCCATGGTTTTTTGAAAAAGAAAGCATTAAGCCCATCACATCCCAGAGCTTTCAAATCTCCTATCTCCATTAAAGCTTGATGGATTTCATCTCTCGTTACAGGTCTGATTAGGTTTCTTTGTTGCTCTATCCTTAGGATTGGACCTTGATTTATCACTGAGGGATTGATAGCTGGTATAGAAGTTGTTGAAGCCCCAAGCAAGTTTTTGTAAAACCCTATAACCTCTTCTTTAATTTCACCTTCAGTTTGTAGAATGTGCCCTTGAGAGTTTGTCAGATATCTAATGTAATTCATAGAGCATCTACTCTTCATAGTAGCAAAGAAATAGGCAGAATTTGAATCACCTTCCTTTAGCCACTGCACTCTAGACTTTTGCTTATAGATACTCTCCTCAATTCCTCCCCATTTCTCCAGCTGGTATTTTAATTATTTTTCTTCTTCAATCAGAGTAGCTTTCAGCAGATCATGCCCCATCTTCTCTTGTACACTATTTTCTTGTATTTTTTAACCGCTTTTCAACATCTTGGAAGTGCCCAATATTAGTCTTCTTCAACTCCTGCTTAATCACTTTTAGTTTACTCCATATTCTT